ATCACAACGCACTGGATAGCTGGCCAATCACAGCACACCTCGCTTTTTCAGACCGATGAGCTTTGTAAAAATTGAAGCGTTTCAGAAACGCGGGGCATAGAGGAGAAACAATAATGTACAGTATGTGGAAAATAATGTGTTTTTGAACCTTAAGCCGCATAAACACATTTCATTACACCAAATACACCAAATAATGTTCTTTTTAGCAGCATCATATGACTATAAAGGAATACATAAGGTCACTTACATGCACACACTCCCTTTTCGTACCTCGGCTTGTCAGCACTGTAGTCACAGTAAAGTCCTTTATGATAGTCACAGGTATCTCTCTCATTACAGGTCTCCCTCACCTGCTTGGCACAGGCCTTGCAGCAGTCACATCCATCTGTCAACAGGCTGACCCCATGTGGGCAAACAGGGGCATTCTTAGGGCACTTACAGGGCCATTTGCAGTATCGATATCGGTAATAGGGGTCCAAATCTGTGGTCACAAGAGGAGAGTCTGTGGAGTTGTGGGAACTGGCCTGTGTGGGAGAAACGAGAGGAACAAGAAGATATGCCAACTTTAGCCACTTTGGGGCAACAGAGAGTTTGCTTTGAAATTACATTGAAATTGGACTCTTTGAATAGGCTTCCAATAACTTCATTGCAGAGGATGCTTTGGATTAGTTTCTAATATGAAGAAGCACAGGATCACTTTTACGCTGTAATTACACAGAATTAGCTTTCCAAAACTGATGGATAATTTGAATAGATATACAAACAGAACGAAATGCAACATTATTGTGACACAACGTTTTGACTTTTATAAATCAAATACTGCCTGTGTAAAATCGTATCGCCTACACAACAGTTCGTTTTGGTTCTCAGAGTATCTTTCGGTTTCTCTCTACAGTGGACGAAATGGAAAACCCGGAGTGGAACAACAACAAAGGATTGCAGAAGCGGAGAAGGGGCTCTCTGCCGATCCGCTCCACTCGTATGTGTTGTTCCAGTGAGGCATAATTTTTTTATATTAATAATTTTAGTGTGAGGCATTTTTTTAATATTAATAATTTGATAATTGATATTCAGGATATAATAGCACTTTTGTTAGTGTGATGTCACCAAATGTGGTTAAATAAGAAAACAACAACAACAAAAAAGTTAAATAAATATATAATATAGAAATCGTGTTCTATTAAAAAAAAAATCTACTGAACGCTTCCTAGACTTGATGCAACATTTCCGAGCATTAATTAGTATAAAATCATGGCACATGATGCACCAATAGAAAATGATTTGCTTTATTGTCATCATGACAAATCAAGCATTGACTTTCAGTTTTGGAACACATTATTATTTAGGTTTCTCTTGATGCATTTGTAGGTTGCAAAGAATTTGCATATGGCATGACATGATGAGACAGTTTGTTTTGCGCTTTCCAAGAATCAGTGATGGATGGTCTCTAACACGTCACTACTTTAACTGCGCGAAAGGGCAGCTTACAACAAATATTCTTGCTTTCCTTAAAAACTCTGTGCCTTCAGTTGCGTGATTTTTTCATTCAAATACTGCATTAAAAATTAACGGTATGGTAAGACTCACCTGGTGCAAACTGGCTGTCAAAAGAATCCACGACAGGAGTCTCCACATTACTATATTCCTGAGAGAAATGCATTGAAACAAGAAATGTTGTTTGCTACAGGTAGAATCCACAAGCGTTCCCTCGTGGCATCCACAGAGCGCTCAGTGATGTGTCGGTCAGCGTTACTGGACGTGCTTTACCTCTGTCTGTCAGATTTAGAGGGAGTTTGCTGGAAGTCTTCAAGGGGGTGGAATCAAAAGAAAACGTCTGAATTATTTAGAAAGCGAACTTTTCCTACAGTTTGTCTTATCAAATCACTAACATAGAAGATAAATGTTTAGATTTCTCATGTCTCAATTATGTCTTGGCAGTGGCATAATTATTGCATGACATGAAATCTACGCAAGCCATCTGTTTGATTCATTTAAGTCAAAGAATCTGATGAAGGATTTTTAATAATGTTAAATGTAGTCAAGATATACATTTTTATAAGCAGAATATTGATTTAAAGAGGAGAGGCAGTCATTATTTAAATCCATATTTCATTTATTGCTTTAAGTGCTTGACATATGGACACAAATCGTTCCAGAGATCAGCAAGTCAAGTCAAGTCAAGTCACCTTTATTTATATAGCGCTTTTAACAATACAGATTGTGTCAAAGCAACTGAACAGCATTAATTAGGAAAATAGTGTCAATAATGCAAAATGACAATAGTAAACACAAATTTTTCAGTTAAAGACAGTTCATCATTGAATTCAGTGATGTCAACATCCAGCTCAGTTTAAATAGTATCTTTGCAATCAAGTCAACGGTATCGCTGGAAATGAAGTGTCCCCAACTAAGCAAGCCAGAGGCGACAGCGGCAAGGAACCAAAACTCCATCGGTGACAGAATGGAGAAAAAACCTTGGGAGAAACCAGGCTCAGTCGGGGGGCCAGTTCTCCTCTGACCAGACGAACCAGCAGTACGGAAAAATCAATTTAAGACGTAATAAAACAGACGATGAACACTATTAACAGCAATTATTATATGATGCAATCAAACTTATAGCAAAATGTGGTAGTTCTGTATGTTGTTTCAGGGTTGGCATCATCTGAGGTCCTCTGAGGGGTTGGCATCATCTCTTCTCAGGTGAAAGAATTCAAGATAAGAGCAGTTGGACAGATAACTTTGTGTCCCTAAAACATTTCCTCCTGCTGCCAGGAGGTGAAAATGTATGTGTAAGTGACCAGACATTGTTGTGATTTAATACTACTTTTAAATTCTACCTAAATTTTACTGATAAAATGAATTTCTGGCAACCACAGCTGCTGTGCTTTTTTTTTTTTTTTTGCCATAATTTAACATTTTTACAGTACTTGAATCTACTACAAAAAAACTGACCAATTGAAATATAATCACATTAATCTTTGCTAAACTAGATTTGAAAAATACATTTTTATTAATAATACATTTGTAATTTAATTTTAAATGGTAAGCATAGAATTGAATTTTAAAATGCACACAAACAACATTTTGGAAGGTTTGTGTGATGTGCTCATATTTTGCCAAAACCTTGAATCATATGCTAGGTTGCTGTTTAGGTTTCCACGGTTTACAAATTGATACCGACACCTGGGCAGCCTGCCACTGATGCACTAAACAGAAGAACAGTAAATTCTAAACTAATCTCCTACATCACAGACTTCACTGGAAACCCTTTAATATTTCAACCCTTAACGTGCAACTTTGTTTCATAGTTCATGTAGAAATGAGTAAAAAATGTCTCACAAAATATCACATTCTGAGAAAATACTCTGACCTTGACTTCATTTATATGGCTGAATGTAAAAGTGTCCAGACAGCTGGAACAGAATCGTCTAGACAAAGAGGAAATGCTTCTTATAATCTCCAGGAATAAAGTGATAATTAACATCTCAGAATAGCCCTCAGTCAGTGGCACACAAGACTGTTCCAGCATCTGGAAACTTCATATGTCCTCCTGGCACTTTGGTCAGTCCCTATTCCATGTGACTATATGATGTCTTCATTTTAATGTAAAATCACCTGATTAATTATTTAATGAAGATATTTAAATACTCTAACAATATCTTAATCATTTTTTTAAATTTCAAAAGTGAAGAATAACCCAAAAGTGTTTTCAATGCAGTTTATTGTTTAAGTTCTACTATGATTCATAATCACAATGATTTACATCAAAAGAAACACCACAATGATAGAGTGCCAAGATTGGTTCTGGAACAAGCAATTACAAGAAAATCTGAACATTTTGAGACTAATTGTAGGCATCTTTCTCAGATTTAGGTTTGCTTGGAGTCAGAGAGAAGCTGGCGTCTGGGATTGACTTTGGCTCTTGGGTTGGATTTTGAATACCTCCAGAATCTCCCACTGAAGTCTCACAGGAGAATTTGGCTGTGAAGTCAAAAGTCAAAGTCAGGTTCACAAGTATTACCAAGTGCACAGAATCTTAAAAATGTATAAGCATTTATGACTGATCAAAAACCCACTGTTATCTTCCAATCTCTAAATGCGGTACTAACCGGTAGAGGTGATCAAATTCGGCACATATTGAGACCAGAAGGAACACTGAGGACTCTGGAGGTTCTTGCGGTTACTGAGTGTAAAGGACAGCTCCTTATAGCCCCGTCCATCCAGGTGAGCCATGAACTGAGGCCATGGGGGTAAGAACTTACTGAAGGACGTCCTAGATGCTGCAAGAGGCAGGTTGGGGTTGCTATGGAGAGCAGAGGAGAGATGAACAGGGCTGTGCAATATCACTAAAGTCGGTTTGAAATGAAAATGCGGGTTTCATTTTTCGACCTCGTAATTTTAAATTAAAATGTTATAACTCAATCTTCTGATGAAATAGTAGACTTCTCTCTGATGACAAATGCTAGACTTCTCCAATCATTTGGTTTGTTTTAAAGGGATAGTTCACCAAAAAATAAAATCCTGTCATCATTTACTCATACTTATGTCATCTGAAACCCTTTGAAACACAAATTAATCTTAATAAATCTTAATTTGTGTTGCGATGTGAGTAAATGATGACAGAAATCTGCTTCTTTCTTACAGTTGACCAGACTGACACTGATCTGCCTCCGTCCAATCAGAATCAAGTCCTGCCCTAAATTTTTATTTTATGACAATTTGTTTCACTTATACATAAGGGGGAAAAAAACATTACATAACAACATTAAAAAAATACAACAGAAAAGTTTGATGATAAATACCCAGACTTTATGAAGTTTGCCATATAGTTCATGATCTGCAAGGTAAGCGTTCTCTCTTTGGAGCTGAAGAGGTCATGCATTTCTGAGGCAAGATGAACTCCAAAGAGGTACTGCACATCCATCGGCACTGACAAATCAACACTGCGACAAAAATATATTTAGCATACAGAGATTCTTCTTAAATGTGATAGATTTTATTATGAGTGGTACCATGAGTTCTGTGAAATCAAGTAAGTATGACATGAAGTATATGGAATGAGAGGCACCTGTTGTAGGTAGCTTCCTCAGGTAGGTGGTACATGTGAACACTGGACCGTGTGTTGGCTGCCCAGAATTCAGCCATGTCCACAGCTGGACAGATGATGAAGAGATCTCTGTAGAAATAAATGTGCATAATATGAATGCGTCATGCATAGCAAGGTGCAGGCAGCTTCACCTGCATTTTAAGATTTTAATAACACAGGAGTTTTATCACATTTAACATTGTTTAATTCTTTCCTGATTGTCGCTTTGAAACAAAAAGAAATGAAACGATGGCGAAAAAGAGGATCAGGAAATGATGCTGGATTTAAACTTGGTTTTATCGGGTTCTATATGTACTATTCTAGTTTTAGGTCTCTTTCCTGTTTATGTTGCTATGCTGCTGTGTGTGCAGTGGGTCATTGGGTGTGTTGGTGAGGTTTGGTCTGTACTATATCTGACACTAGTGATTATGTGGGCAGCCAGCTTGTCCTCTTTCTCAACTGCATTCAGAGCTACTGACAATTCAGAGAAAGAAGCAGGAATTTCAGGACACAGAGGTCCAAAAGAAAATGTGAAACTGCCCTTCAAAGATGAGCTAAACACTAAAGATTTTACTGAATTTCATATTATTGCATTTCGCATCCTAGTGTCCTTTAGCCTTTAGCATTCTAGTGTCATTGCAGAAATGAAATCATTATTTATTTTAACCTTATTGTAGTAGAAATGTAATTCTACTCAGCATTTTCTTTCTGAATTTAAAATATTTTGGCTATGTTTCCAAAACTGAACAATGTAGTGTTTGCAGATATGATCTGGTAATCACAAACAGCAATACATTAGAAGGAAAAGACTGAGCTTTTTGTTAAATGAACTCTTGACTCTCAAGAGTGTACATGCTAGCCCGCTGAACTCATATTTTCCAGACACACTTTGAGTATCAGAATACTGATGTTTGACAGAAACTGAGCTCAAGAAGGTTGCATCCGCCACGCATCAAGTATCATTCAGAGCTAGGTCATTTCAGCCATTACCTATTAAGTAGATAAATATATTACTTAAAAGTCACCAAATTACCATTCAAACATCATTGTATTTTTGGACAAATTTTTCTTTTTTTTTTTTTTTACAGTTTTCTTCTTCCAATATTAGTTACCCCCATCCAGTCTATAAACTTCACTGTTAAAATGTCATGAAATTGTTCTCAGATTAGTGATGAGTGACAGTTTTTACTAGGACTGTTTTAAACTCACACTTGAGTATATTTCAGTCAGAGACCTATATATACCATTTCCTTCCTCTTTGCCACAAACAAAGCTGCCTCCCCGCCCTCAAGGCAAGAGCGATTCAAACACAGGGTCCTACCCTAAGGCTCAAAGTGATTTCAGCTCTGGATTCCTCGGCATTCCAGACCACTTAACGTTTTTTCAAGGGTCTGAACAAACATAATCATTCACGTACAGAACGGCAGCTGTGAACACATTGAGAGAGAAAATCTATTGTTCATTTTGGCATCTAACTAAAGCAGGGGTGGGCAAACTTGGCCCTTCCAGGTCACTTTCCTTCAGAGTTCAGCTCCAACTCTAATCAAACACACCTGAACCAGCTAATCATTGTCTTCAAGACTACTAGAAAGCTACAGGCAGGTGAGTTTTATCAGGGTTGGATCAAATCTCTGCAGGAAAGTGGCCTGGAAGGGCCAAGTTTGCCCATCACTGAACTAAAGAGTTGCAACTAAGCTTTACAAACAAAAAGCTGATCATGGGCTTTTAAATTAGATTGCCTTTTTAACATTGCATTCAAATGGCATAAACATTTTACTTCTCTAAGAAATAATTTTGGCCACTTTGGGAGCACAGTAAAATGAACCTTTTAGTGTTTTTAAAAGAAGTCTTTCACTCACCAAAATTCTATTTATTTGATAGAAAATACAGTAAAACAGTTATCTTGTGAAATATTATTACAATTCAAAATAACTGTTCTGTATTTTAATATATTTTTAAAATGTAATTTATTCCTGTAATGGCAAAAGCTTAATGTTATTAAGCAGCCATTACTCAAGTCTTCAGTGATACTATATTCTAATATGCTGATCTGGTGATTGATAGTACATTTCTTCTCATTCTCAGTGTTGAAAACAGTTGCGCTGTTTGTTTGTTTTTTAGAAACCGTGATACTTTTTTTTTTCAGAATACTTTGATGAATAGAAAAGTTCTAAAGAATAGCTTTTTTTTTTTAAATATATATAAATATCTTGCAACAATGTTTTAATTGTAACTTCTGATCAATTTAATGCATCATTGCTGAATAAAAATCTTAATTTCTTTCAATAACTAAAACAAACAAACAAACAAATAAATAAATCTTAGCCCAATTTTGCATGGTAGTGCAACTTTGGTACCTGGGAGGTACAGTATATGCTTTCCATCCAACATTCTTATAATAAAAATAAATTATACTTTTGTTCTGTATGACCTTCCACCTCATACCTCGTAGCATTTTCCAGTGCGCGAGAGAACACATTGTATCCTGAGGGTGTGGGGGAGTGTTGCAAAGAGTAGAACCAGGTCGCGGCCTCCTTCACGAAAGCATTAGCATCATCTCGACCCAGAGAGTTAGACAGGGCTGCGTAAAATGCTGTCTTGCTGTCAGCCCTTCCCTGAAGCTGCTCGAAATTCTTCTCAGATAAAAGAAACACAAAAGCGCCAATAAGAAATTGTAACTAGTTTTTATCTAACCACACCCAGCTTTAATTCTCACAGTATCTTTTAGGTGCTTTCCTCTCGCTCATTTCTCAGTCTGATATATTTGTGTCCTGACCTTGATGTTCTTGGCTCTGCTGATGAGACCGTCTTCAAATGATGACCCTAGAAGTAATTCAACTTTGTGGAAGCGTCCGGACAGAAGGGCCACAGAAGGCTTTTCCCGAACTACAGTTCCATCAACCACTGGTGACCAGGCCTGCAGGGGACCACTCACTGCTAACAACTACACAGAAAAACACCCAGAGAATGTTACGCAACAAAAATAATGATCGTTTTTAACAGTTATGTGCTTTTTCTTCACAAAAGTAACCCATTATACCTTTGTCTGGGCAGCATTGATGCTCTGAGCTGGTTTACTCCTTAGGCAGGTCAGCAGCTGTGAAATATCAGAGGCCGAGCAGCCAAGTTCCCTAGCCAGAGATGCAGTTTGCGCCTGGGCTTTAGATGTACTCATTACAACAGCTGGAGAAAACACCGATCCACCCTACAAGCAAACAACAGCATTGTTAAGCACTGCATGTGACCACTAAAAAGGTATCCGGATCTTTAGTCATCAACCATGATGAAGTATTTTCATCTAGACCTCATTTATTATGGGTTTTTTGTTTTACTTTAAAGACATTTGTCTGAGAGAGAATTTAGAGAACTTTTCCAGTCAGACTCAAATGTCAATGAGACATAAACAAATTTTATATTAATCTATTATGGTTTGGACTGAAAACGTCTCAAAACAGAAAATCATGAAACCATGAGTGGTTTTCTTTGCATACCACTGCTATTTATACACCTATTTACCAGAAGCAGTGCATTATTTCCATATATAGAGCATTCCTGAATTAATTTGCATGTGATTATAAAGCCGTTTCACTTCAGCACTTCCTATTTTTGCTTATTTGTGAAATGGAAAGTGTGGTGAGACACACAGCTTCCCCGTTTACTCAGGCCATGCCCTTAAACTCTTGTCAGACTCTTGCACAACAGAACCATAGGAGAATCTATAAGAAAGGGAGCTTGTCTCGGTTTGGACAGACATCTGATGGCTGATTGGATGTGGTAAATTTGTAGGAATAGCTGTGGGAGACTGACAATGGGAGGCACTCTGGCAAGCCAAAGAACCCTGGAGGATTTCGAACAAGCTCATACTAATGAAGACCTTCCACCAAGAGGTACGAAAATGCTGAGCAGTGTCCAAGTGACTGGTTTCAAGTGACGTTCTGAGTTATTGTAGACTGATGCCACATCGTTTCAATCGTTTACAGATGTGGTGTGTGAAGAGACTCAAACTGTATTAATACATAAGCATATATCGGTTCTCCGTGTAGACAGAACGTGCAGTGTTAGATGTGGTTTGTCCTTGAAATGAAATAATATTCAATAGACTAAGCTGAACTTAAAAACAAGTGAAATTTGTGTACGACCTAAAAAAAATATGAAGTCTCTAAAATTGGACACAAGCGCACAACATTAGCTGGAATCACACCCATGACTGAATAGTACCAAACAAGGAAGTTTGTTTTTCTGTTTAGTAATCATTCTTGAATTAAATGATCAAGTTAAAAAGTTAGCTCAAAGGCTAAAGGAACATATTCTAAGTACTTCCTGGCACTGCAACATAAATACAAATGACTTCCTAACACAAATGCGCAAAAATACAGGTTTGTTTCATTAGCAAGAATCAAAGAGCCAAGTTATCTTTGACATAAAAAACAACAACTAACATACAAACATTATGAACATATATATTTTTTTCCCAATGCAAATGCAATATTTTCTGTTTTACAGTGGATGAGAATGACACCGCAGTAGTGTTGGATAACTACCCTCCTCCTGATATCTGCAAGCCTATATTTCGAATGGGAGATTGGCTGAAAATAGTGTCTGAGTAAGTATTATCATCACATATTTCTAAAAAATGTTTTTGCCTGTATGCAATGTAAACAGTAAAATATGTCTCTTAACATGCCTCACAAGATTATTACTCAAGATATGCTACAACAAATAAGTTTTTTCTTTGTTTGTTTGTTTATTTATTTATTTAGAGTCTTTCATGCACACCAGTTTATGTGCTCAAAAACACAGCAATATTGTGAAATATTATTACAATTTAAAATACCTTTATATTTATTTTTATATATTTAAAAATGTCATTTATTCCTGTGATTGCAAAGCTGAATTTTCAGCAGTCATTACTTCAGTTTTCAGTGCCATTCTAGAAACCGTTCTAATATGCTGATTTGGTGCTCAAGAAACATTTATAATTATCAATGTTGAAAACAGCCATGCTGCTTAAAGGGGTCATATGATGTTGCTAAAAAGAACATTATTTTGTGTATTTGGTGTAATGAAATGTTTATGCGGTTTAAGGTTCAAAAAACACATTATTTTCCACATACTGTACATTATTGTTTCTCCTCTATGCCCCGCCTTTCTGAAACAGAGAGAGAGAGAGAGAGATTGTATGTTTGAAGTGTAGATATAATGTTTGTATGTTTGAAGTGTTAGTACAGTATGTTATTAAACTATATTTACCATCAATAACACTCACAGTTGCTGGGCGCAATATGCGAATGCACAACCGACCACAAAACCTTGAAGCCAGTGTTAACTTTAACACTACCTTCTGCCGTTTAACACATACAGAAAACTGCTTTTCACTAAATAGAAATAGGTTGTTTTTTGATCATTATAAACTTTACAATTACAAACGAGAAGCATAACAGTCCACATGCATTAAGTCTCACTTTCTTTCAGGGAAGGGTACTGGTGGAAGGTCTACTCGGTCAACACTAAGGAAGTGAACTATATACCACACTGTCATGCCACAAAAGTCTACCATGGGTAGGTTCTGAATCGCCAACTAAACGAGCTGCTTGTCATTTAGCTTCCACTAGTTGTTTAATGCTCTCTAAGTGCTAATGGAAACATTCTTGTCGGTCTCAGCTGGCTGTTTGAAACCGTGACCAGACCAAAAGCTGAGGAACTGCTTCAACTCCCAGGAAACCGAGTGGGGTCATTTCTGATCAGAGAGAGCACAAAAGGTCAGAATACATATTTAAAATGAACATTATACTCTAGTCTAGTGCCAAACAGCCAGAGCATAAGGTCTGGTCCATATTTCAGCTTATTCTGGATGACAATCACCCACTTAAAACTGTCTGACAGACAGAGTTTTATAAATAGACCAATCTAAAGGATCTTCTAAATAATATTTTGGCTTATCCAATAATATGGCTGATTTTTTTTGTAGGTATGTACACCTTATCTGTGCGCCACAGAAATATTAAGCATTATCGAATAGTTCGAATGCCAAACAACTGGTACTTCATCGCTCCACGCCTCACATTTCAATGTCTGGAAGATCTGGTCAACCACTACTCTGGTAAATCAAAAAAACTACTACTAAATAAATAAATACTACTCTGGTAAACCAAAAAACAACCAGTTTTAGTGTAAAAGATGTATCTGTTTGATGCAGATTTTTCCCTCTTGCTCTGGTTCAGATATAGCAGATGGACTGTGCTGTGTTCTAACTGGCCCATGCTTGACCGCCTGTGAAACACCCCTGAGTAAGATCACAAAAACACCTGATGGGAGAAAATTATCCTTTGACTGGAGAGCAGTGAACAGGTAATAAGATCAATAAAACTACCGCTCAAAAGTATGGGGTCAGTAATATTTTCATGCTTTTGAAAGAAGTCATCTATGCTCACCAAGGCTGCATTTATGGACCAAAAACACAGTAGAAACTGTAATATCGTGAAAATGATTGAAATTTACTGTTTTCTATTTTTACTTTTAAATTAATTTATTCTTGTCATGGCAAAGCTGAATTTTTAGCATCCTTTACTCCAGTCTTACGTGTCACATAATCCTTCAGAAATCATTCTAATACGCTGATTTGGTGCTAAAAAAAAACATTCTTATTATTGTCAAAGTTGGAAAACAGTTGTGCTACTTAATATTTTTTATGAATAAAAAGTTCAATCGAACAGTATTTTTTTTTTTTTTGTAGCCAATGTACATCTTTACTGTCACATTTGATCAATTTAATGCATCCTTACTGAATAAAAGTATTAATTTATTTGGGGGAAAAAAACTTATTGACCACAAACCTTTGAATCGTAGTGTATATTTTTCAATTTTCCTTTTTTGTTTCTCCACTAAAACTGAAATTCATTTATTTGATAAGTGTTTGAACTATCATATGAACATGGAAGCATTTTAAAAACTGTAAGTCTTTTCAGACAACATCTATAATACTAATGCACTTTTCCTCACTCAGCTCGGAGCTCATCCACCAGAGCACAAGCCCTTCAGGGGTCAGCTATGGGGTTCAGAACAGTGTATCTTCCTACCTGTCTTTGCTGGGACAGCAAGAGAAGCCAGAGAAAAAGAAATTTAGCATGAAGAAGAGGTGGAGGTCTGTCTACATGACACCAAACCACCAGCTTGACAGTTTGGCTACTGTGGAAGACAACTATGAGGAGGTGCTTTGATAGATCACAGCTGATTCATTCCAAGAGCTCAAAAGCTGATAGAGGGATATATAAAGGCATTGTGTGTTGACTGGAAAGAGACAGACTTTTTGTCAGAGAATCATCTGAACATTTAAAACAGTTCCTCAGGCATGTGTTTATTTAAATGTAGGCTTACGAAGCTTTGAGTCTGAATGTTTTAAGATGCTTGTGCAACCTTGTGTCATTATTTTTGGATTGCTTTTACTGTAAATGTGACCTCAGACATTAGTGTTGTTACATAAAACAGTGGTGTCATGTAACCGGCAGTGGGACTTCAGAGTTCTGTTCTTACCATTAGCAAAGCTCGGTGGAAAAGTGATGAAGCCGACGGTGAGGTAAGATGAAGACTCGCAATGTCGGCACCGTTTCTCTCTGCCCCTGCTGTGACTTTAGTGGGGTCTCCTCCAAAATGAGCAATGTTCTTCTGAACCCATCCCAGAGCAGCTGCCTGGTCCTGCAACCCATAATTCCCCGGCAGAGCACTGGAATCTAGACAGAGTCAACAGACTTCAATTCATCAGGCATATCCAAATGTGTTTTCCACACATAGATTAAAACTATGACGCAAGAATATTCTCAATAAATGACTGAAAAATCACCTTTTCATTATAACCCGCATGTGAAAGTCTATCCACTATAAAGACAATAATAATAATTTTTTAAATGTTTAATAAAATATTCACAGCTCCACAGGGGTTTGGCTGGGAAATACCATTGTCACAAACAGTTCAAGAAATGTAAGGAAGCCAATTACGCTTCTGCACAGCTTTCACTGTGTGTTGTTTTTGGCTGGAAAATTAAAGCTCATCCTGGCAGACCACTCAAAGGCACCAGTTAGGCCTCCTTTTCAAACTTACTCAGCCAAGGGTGGCAAAGGGGAAAAGAATCTGAATATTTTCACAACCACTGTGTGGAATGGAACTTCTCACATGAACATAACATAACTATATTCCATAACCAAATCCATTCCATTTTTTGGGGGGAATTCCATTTTATGGAATAAATTATCCAATTTCTTGCAATACGTCATTTCATTCTAACCCAACAGAGCTTCCAGGACATGGTTTAATTCTAGTGTAGATATATAATAATAATAATAAAAACTTCTTTATAACATTGAGATTCATTCCTTAAAATATTTTCAGAACTTTTCAGCATGAAGTGTTCCGGAAGGCATTCGCATTTTTGTTGCATGAATATAAACACATCAACAGTAAGGGCAAATAAAACTAAAGACGACTGTATTCAGGGCTCATAATGGTGAGGACTGTGTTATTTACTAGATTCTATACTAAATGTTACTCTACACCAAGGTTTTTCAGTCTTTACAGACCCAGAACCCAGGAAAAAAATGTTTATCATACAATGGATGTATTCTTTCACTCAAAAGTTTGGGGAAAGTGAGATGTTTTGGTCACACTTTAGTTTGGGAACCAATTCTCACTATTAACTACAACTCCTAATTTGCTGCTTATTAATATTTAGTAAGACAGTTGTTAAGTTTAGGTATGGAGTTGGATTAAGAGATCGAAAATATGGTCATGCAGAATAAGGCATTAATACCTGCTGTGTAAGTACTAATAAACAGCCAATATGCTATGAATAAATTAATTCTATTATTCAGCAAGGATGCATTAAATTCACCAAAGAATCCAGAAAAAAATTTCACGGTTTCCACAAAAACATTAAGCAGCTCAACTGCTTTCAGCTTTGATAATAAGAATTGTTCCTTTAGCACCAAATCAGCATAACAGAAGGATTTCTGAAGGATCGTGTGACACTGAAGACTGGAGTAATGGCTACAGAAAGTTTAGCTTTGCCATTACATTTAAAATATATTTAAAATAGAAAACATTTGTGGGACTGGCTAGAGTCATGGAATATTATCAAGTTGCGTATATGAACACTTTCATGTATATGTCATATGTGTGTGTTTTTGGGTACCTGCACTGAGGAAACCGAAAGCGGCCACCCTGAAACTGGCTGTCACTACAATTATGTTGCCAACAGCAGTGAGGTAAGACCCATCTAAGAGACCCGATCCAGAGTTGTGGAAGAACACCAGAACCGGAGCATTCTTTCCCTGTGACAAAACAGAAAAATTGTACTATGAATACCAATAACAGCATTCACACCACAGTCAGCAGATACAGTGGTTTATGAAAGCAGTATTAACATACATAAAAGCCCATGAGAATGAGAAATGAGAAAAAAGAACATAATAAAGAAAGTTGTAACATTAAATTAAATTAGTGCATTATATACTATTGTTCAGAAGTCTGGGGCCAGTAAAACTTCTTTTGATCTTACCGACTGCAAACTTCTGAACAGTAGTGTACATGTATACGTATATATGTATTTATGCATGTTTGAGCTCATGTGGGTCTTACCACACTACTAGCAACAAATACATTGAGGTACAGACAGTCTTCACTGGAGGTGGAGTCAGTGGGATCGCCAGGTTGAAGACAGCTGGATCTAAAACAGTTTTGATAAAACAAATCAGATCACACTCCAGAAAAGTGACTTTATTAATTCTGCAGTAAGGCAACCAGTTAATTTGAGGGTATAAATGTATGTTAATTCACAATCTGCAAACAAAGTTGCCCACCGAGAAAACGTGGCATTCCAGATACCGGTCCAGTCAGCTGGCTGTGGAGGGCTGAAACGGAGCTCTCCGACTGGTGGACGAGCATAAGGGACACCCAGGAAATAGGTTACACGCTTGCTATCTGAGCCAGTTATGGGTTTCACCTCACTCTCTCCGAGAAGTGTCCCGTGATCAGGAATGGAAACAGAAGTCAACTCTGGCTGTAAACCTATAAAGAAATGTTTAAACATCTGTGTTGTTGGGGTGAAAGAGATCAGAAACATCCTGAACTGGTTGACACTCTGAATAAACTGAAGATTGTTTTGTTTTGTGGTGCCACCTGTCCTGACGTAAACAGACTGAGCAGGCTCTTTGGTGACTAAGAAGCAGCGCTGGCCGCTGGTTGTAGGAAGGCAGGTGTGTGTGTCTGGATACATCACACATCTCATGGCTGACTCTCTGCTTTCGATAGACACAGCTGAACAGGACTCACTTTCCTCACAGGCTACAGAAGACAAGAATGTTATGAGAAGACAAGGATAACCACATATTATCTGTATTGTAAATTGCTATTGTGATTATTATGACTAATTCAGTTAAAATATATTAAAATGTAATAAAAATAAATTATTAATGTATTGTATATTATTTCAGCCTTGCCATCACGGGAATAAATCACATTTTAAAACGCATTAAAATAGAACCGATACTTTAAATTGTGATAATATCTCAAAATATTACTCTCTTTACTGTATTTTTGATCAAACAAATGCAGCCTTGGTGAGCATAAGTAATATAATATTTATTCAAATCAAAAGTAAACTACATGTTGCTTGCTACATCACATTGCAATGTGTTCAGCATGTAACATGTGGCTTTATCACATCAACTTCCTGTAAAAGTTCTGAGAAAAAAAAAAAAAAAGTGATACACGTTACCAGATAGACACCAGTCTCTGACTTTATCCAGATCCTCTGCTATATCTCTGCTTATGTGGACAATGTCAAAAGCTGAAACAGATGAATCCACCTTGACAGAGGTGGCATCCAACTGCTTCCAGTTCTTCAAATCAGCTGCTTGCAAATAAGCAATGAGATCAAGAATGACGTGTGAAAATTACATAAATGATTGAATTCAATTATTATACAGTAATAAAAAATACATTGTTAGAAAACAGTAAGGTATTATTCATTTAAGAGACTCTTACCGTTCTTTGAGGGAGAGCGGAGACTAAATGGTGGACACACACTGGGATTCTTTATCCATTGGTTTACTACAGAGACATACAAAGCTGATGTTAAAATCTTTCCGTGAAGTCATTTACTTCAACAAGTCACATAATGGGAATTCTCAATTTATTGAAATACAGAGTTCGAAAAGGCACATGGATTTCAGATATACCTGGTTTTTCATGCCAGCCGAAGGGATAGACTTCAGTCTGCACTTCGGATGGAGAGCAGTCCTGAATCCTCCAGTTAGTACTGTCATTCTCACCACATGTCTGGATACCCAGACTATTCAGAGTTAGACACAACACATCTGATCCTGTACACAAGCAAAGCAGAGAGACCAACTGTGAGTGGTTTCATTCCACAGATTAGACATCACATATGTTTTAAGTGAATGAGCAAGATGAGCTGTGTATTTTGAGACTCGTTTGAGTAAAAAGGTTCTTTCATACTAGGTACACCGGAATCTTGGACATATCCTATGCCACGGCAGCATGGATCTTCATCACATCGCCTCTCACACTCAAAAAACCTGCTCGAAAAAGTAAAACAGCATTATTCATGAAGGAAACAAATAAACTGAGATGGAAACAAGTTTGTTGGTTTTCCCCTCACCCTTCTGTGATAGATTTACTGGACAGACTGACTCGACTGCGTACAGAGTAGGACACCATCTTCTTAAAAGTAACACGACTGTAGAAACTCTTCACACTTCCTAACAGAGAAACTGCACAAGAAAAAGAAAGTGATGTCCATATTATGCATAACAAAAAATATGCTGTAAAATCTAACTTGATCAAAAGCACTTTGGCGTAATAGGTTGGTAAAAAGAATGTTTTTTGACTTAATGTTCCAAACAGTGGAACGTTTATACAAATAGAAACTTCCAAGTGGTGCTTTTGGGCAAAAAACAAACTGTTTGCTAATTATGACAGGTTCTTTGATTCCCTCAGTACAAGCTAAGATAAAACGCTGGGTCAAAAAAATCTTTTTTACAGCATTGAGAAACCCCTTACGGCAGATTTCCACTAAGGTAGCATTATTTTCCACCCTTAAACATCTACAGCAGATGGACCACATGTTAAGAGTTTATGATCACACCTTTTTGTTGTGGATTACTTTATAATCCATAAAACATTCAAGCCCCTGTGATCCCCTATTATGACTGAAAATCACTGCATTTGTGTTCCAGGAACACACAATAGGACTATCAAATCCAAACATTCCTGTTTCGGCATTTCAAATTGTTCAAAAGTATGTATATCTTTAGTATATACATACTTTTATACATAGTACATACTTTTATACATAGTATATCTTTTTGAAATAATAATAATAATAATAATAAATAAACTAATTAACTAACTTTTTCCAACAAGGATGGATTAAATTGATCAAAAATGACAGTAAAGACATTTTCAAATAATTCTATAAAAAAAAAAAAAAAAGTATAATAGTATCCACAAAAGTATTAAGCAGCCGAAAATTGATAATAATAATGTGACAGTGAAGAACTAATGGCTGGTAAAACATGTAAATTGTTATAATATTTCACAGTTGTACTGTATTTTTGATCAAATAAATGCAGTCTTGGTGAGCATAAGAGACTTCTATCAAAAACATAAAAAAACTCATAAACCCCACTTTTGAATGATTCTATACACTGTAGTAAATTGTTTACATTTAGAATTAAATTTCAAAATGTAATTAACTTTTTTTTTTATTTCCATATAAGCATCTCTCCAAACACATACAGAGGCTTGTACTAAACAAAACCAGACAAAATTCTCTTCATAAAATCTTACATAGTCCACAATGAATAGTCCTTTTTAAAGAAAACCTAAGGAGCTAGAGAGTGTACAAAGTCTTTGCTATGGAGAGGAATGAATGACTAAGGTATCTGAGAGACACTCTGCCTTTCCACTTCTGTTTAAATAAATTACTTGTGATTGCTCATAATTTAAATCTTAGAGCTGTTCTGCAGTTTAGACAGACGTCCAGAATAACCACATTACTGTGTGATCACTCACTTTACCGAATCTTACATAACACCACGTTTCCATTTCTAATTTAAAGGCTAACAATGAACATCATGCATAACCCACAATTATACAGACGGTTTCTTCCATTTGCTTTTCTTTCAGGGGAATCTAATTCTGACACCTACAGGAGCAGTCCAAATATGAAACAGTGGAGAATGTTGAATGGAGCAGATGTTGAAATAAATATGAATGGTATTGAAATTCAAAATCAAAATCAAATTTAAAATTAAAATTAAAAAAATAAAAGTATATTTACATAGTAGGTAAATAATGGTAAAGATCATACACCATGGCTAGAGTAGCAGACATTTACAGTCCCCTTGAACGAGTTCAGTTTTCTTGTAAATTTTAGATCATTATATCTGCTAAAAGTGAAAAAAAGGTTGCAATTTAGGAGCACACTATAGCATATGGATTGCATAAAAACTTATAGAAAAGTACTAAATTGCTACAAAATAACTTCAGGTGAATTTTACATGAGTGAGTGTGAGAACTCTCAGAATTTTGGCTGGTGGAATCTCCATTAGATTTCACACTTAAAGGGTCATGAAACACTAAGCAACAATTTCTGAGATGTCAACAGATAAGATTTGCACTTTTTTGACAGCAGCAGAAGCATTTAGCAGATGTCAAATATCAAGACATCACTGTCAACTGTACCATTTTAGACAATATGTCAAGATTGTGGATTTTACAGGTGGTGTTGTGGAAAGTCGCATTAGATTGCGTTTGTCTTTGCTTCCACATACCGCAGACAGCATGAGCTCACCGCTGTCTGCACGCCATATGGGTGAGGTGGAGTTTTGCCACTTCACCTCACTGAAATGTTCTCCAGTCATTCAGACAATTCCTGTTACCAGTAGCTCACAAAATGTGAAATGAGAACTAGACAAGGTTCATTTTTATGGCTAATGACCAGTGAACTCCAAATAGAGGAGATAATGATCCCAACTCAAGTTTGCAGACACAACAGTAGAAAAATAAGATAATTGCGTAATAAATGTACATCTCTCTTTCTTCTAACATAAAATAATTATTATATCATATTATATTATAAACCAAATTAAATCAATATTTCATGTCCATTTATTTACATTTTTAGAGAAGTAGAGGCCTAGTAAGTGGGATAATCTCCTTTGTGTTGGTCAGACAATTAAAAAAAATCTCTTCAAACTAGATATTATTTATCCATCATCATTGTCTCCTTTTGCCCTTTCACCCGCTGTCTCTATCAAGCTCCAGCAATACTAAAATCTGAATCATCTGCATTCCATGTTCAGTTGCTAGGATCATATCTGAAAACAAATAAAGTAAACGACAGACTCAGTCACAAAGAAAGTGGTAAGAGTCTGACATCAGACTTTACCATAGACCACAGTCATGAATCCTGCATTAGGCAATGCAAAACCCATCTGTCCAATGACAGAGAAAAAACTCTGAAAACATCTATTGCTGAGAAATATGAAAGCATAATATATAGTGTACAGCATATGTGATTATCTGAGGAATGGGGTATGACAACAAAATAACTTTGCATACAGAAGTAAATAATTAAAATGACCATATTTTTGTATCATAAATTAAATCATCACTTGTAGTGAAAGCGTGGCTTTTTTGTGTATAAATGACTCACCTTTCTTCTGGTATGCAGCCTGAAGACTCTGTGTCATCACTAAACTGCATGCCTGCCTGAGAGGTTTGTCATACGCCCCACATACACGCGTGTCAGGATACAATACACATGCAAAATACAGAGGGCCTTCATCACGAATGTCGGATACGTGGCAGAGTTGTTCTTCTCCGCAGCCTGAAACCCAAATCCCATATTCACAGATCAGAATGTGAAACATTCTTGCACTGCACAGACATTTATTAAGTATATAAGTGTAAGCAAATAGATTCTCATGAAGCTATTGCATCTTACGTTTCAGACACCACAGCTGTGCCTCCTGGAAAGTGTATTGGTGTTTAAAGATCCAGTAAAGCTGACTGGGAAGTTCCCTCTCTGGGTCGACTTTTACGTCACCATTCTCCAGAACACCAAATGTCTCCTTTACTGAGTCTAAATGGACAGGAGAGAAAAAAAAAAGATTATTAGAAAAAATAAATAACACAGAACCGAGAGTTTTTTTTTTTTAAATACTTATTTAAATATATTTTTTTATATTTTAATATTTAATTTTAAAAAGTACAATTTATTATAAGGGTACTTATAAGATCAAGAACACAAAAATGCTTTAATAAATATATATATATATATATATATATATATATATATTTTGTTTCTTTTTTTTACACCGTACCACTGTGATAGACAAAATGCAAATGTTTCACATTTCACGAGTCGCTCAAACAAATGTCTCCAAACCTCCCACCTCTGACATGTATTAATATATGAATCTATTAGCCTTCAGGGGAGGAACACTGACACTGCTAGATATCTGACTGTTTATTTTAGACAATATAACAGTGGGAGAGAAAGAAATGGATATTGGAATCATTTCAATTGGATAATCCAATAAGGATACTGATTATTTTGTTTATTGAAAAAATCAATCAGGTGTATACTGCTGAATATGGACGAGGAACGAATGTAATAGGCTTATTATACAAACACAAACACTGTTCTAAGCAGATACAACAGCTGCAAGTTTCCAGCAATTTCTCTGTCTACGCTGAAAGTGAAAACACTGTACAATTGGACAGATCCCATCAGATTGGCTTATCAAAACATATTTGATGTTTAAAATGTGGTTGTGGGACCAATGAGAATTCACTGTGTGTGCAGCGACAGTATATCATTTGACAATTTTGGGAGGCAGTAGTAGACAATCATTTGAAATTATTCAGTCACATAACTTGAGGCAGAGTCATATCACTTTTTCAATGCCTGCACTCGTTTCTCCATATATTTTCTTACAGAATTAAAATAATTAGCAACCAAATGTTTTATGTTCAATTTGGACATTTTTTGCTTTTATTTGGCATTTTATATATGTATATATGTTGTATATGTTTATATATTATATATTATACTGTATATATATATATATATATAATTAGTTTGGCTTCATTTAATTCATTCATACCAGAAAGTGTAATTTTGGAATCTTCTACAAAAGCTGATCCACTGCAAGCAGAGGGAGTTTTTGGACGCGTGTTCATATCAGACTCTGAAGATGTAAATTATAACCATTAGACTATACAAGAATAAAAGCTAGATCATAATGCCTCAAAATATATACTTTTGTTTATGACAGGCATTTAAAATGCTTTATTAGTGGCATGCTGATATGTGCAGAATATGTCCAAACCTTTCCAAAGGTAGATACGTTGGAAGCTAAAGAGAGTTTCCTGGTAGCCAGTTTTATTTTTGCTGGATGCCGGTAAGGCTGCATCAGCTACAAGAAATGTTAATTTCCATTACAATGTCCATCATTCCATAAAATCATAAATCTTGATATATAAGTCATACAATTGAATTCATAATCATGTAAAATTTTACAAAGTTTAAATGATAAGAAAGCTAAGATTCTCAAGCACTGCACATCAGTAATAATTCAGCAAGTCAAAATCAATCAGACAGAGCAAACTCTGTAAATGTTTGAGTTTATAAAATGGGTACCAGGAGAGGGGAAAAAAAACACCAGAATGAAGCAATACAGAGCAACCACTAGAAACTAAACAATTGATAAAGGTCAAATAACAGCTGAACCAAGTTGTGCAAGTTTTAGACAACAATTAAACAAATTTGTGCACAGTTTAAAACTGCTGTTATGAAATCTGGAGTGTGTACGTATACAAAGATTCATACTGATGGTGAAGTTCTGTCCTCCAAAGTTGAAAGTGAAACGTTTCAGTGGTTTGCTGTATTGGACACCAGCACCACAGATGCGGCTGGAGGAGGCCACGCCCCTCACGTCCCAGTCTGCCTCACTGCACTGCAGCACTGAAGGAGCGCTCAGGAGCCCACACATGATAAAGCCTGCACCACACGACACAAACCATTTAACAACATAAAACACAAATGTGAAACATACAGCTAAAAAAAATAAAAATAAAAAAATGTAGTCAAAACAAAAGACATAGTAAAGGTACAGTCAAAGAAATGTGTCGCCACGCGCCCTCACCAATTTGAATAAGCATGACACGTCTGGTTTTGTATTGCAGTGATTTGGTTTTAGAGCAGTGGAAAGGAGCTACATCTGCTTGTAATGAGTGAAAATGACTCTGACCTCCATCGAGGACATTCTGGTTAAGGATGAATCCATCACAGCAGTTCTCACGACTGCAAGAGTTGACGCAGAAGCGATGGACGTCAGCCAGAGTGGTTCCATGCGCATCAAACACAAGCGTCCGATACACTCCAGAACCAGTCTTACGGAAACTCAGCCTCTCAAAACTCTTCAGGCCTGCTGTGCCGAATTCATGACCTTTTGTCAGAAGATGAAGGGTGGAGAGTAAAAGAGAAAGAAAAAGAAGAGATATTCTTCAAGTCATGGCCAAGAAACACAAGTGCATCTAAATGCTTTTGGGCCGCCAAACATAACCAGAAACTGGGAGCTCTGTTCCTGAGAGGAGTCTCAAAGTATCAAGTCATTTATCTCACATGGAAAAATATTTATCTCATAACAGAACAAGTTTCAGGAATGTTTTTATTACAATTTTCTTTATTCTTGTGTCCACGGATGACTAGACCTCTTTGCTAAAATCACTACTCACAAACCACAAATTAATCTTTGGGACTGCAGTTCAATTATGTATCTTGAATATATTTTATTGTAATATGCTCTTTGCCTCCTAGAAAAGTTAATTCTCTATTCAGACAAACTCAAACTCTCATGATATTGTATGCATCGCCACATTTTATTGCTATGTGTAACCAATAAGGGGTCCAGGTGACTCACAATAATTAACCAAACCGAGAACATGTAGGATTAATTATAATTAATAATTAATAGCTGATGATCTTACCTTTCTTTCTCAGCACCATCAGATTGGGTTCATCTCCTTTTATTTTCAGAACACAGTTGAGAGTCTGGAACGTCTCAGCGCCATCATTTCCCAGAAACCCTTTGCTCTGCAATGCCAAACAAACCGCAAGACTCTTTTTATCAATAATCATGACACTTTTGGGAAAGGAGATGTGTCACTAGACGAAAAAAAAAGACCCAATGCCAAAAATAACACTTAAATATCCTTAATGTCTCATTTCTCCAATTAAAATGTGCAATGTTTTATATTTATTAGCTTATGTAAAGATAAATGAGGATTTATGTTGAAGAGGTTGTCAAACCAAGAAGAAATTAGTTTGTTCAGCAAAAATGCATTTATAATCTCAAATTTATAATGTTCTTTTTAACTTTTTATTTATCAAAGAATCCTGAAAAAAAGTTTCATGGTTTCCACAAAAATATTAAGTAGCACTGTTTTCAACATTGATAATAATAAAAAATAAATGTTTCTTGAGCATCAAATCAGCATATAAGAATGATTTCTGAAGGCTCACATGATACTAAAGACTAGAAAAATAGCTGCTGAAAATTCAGCTTTACAATATTACTGTTTTTACTGTATTTTTGATCAAATAAATGCAGCCTTGGTGAGCATGTGAGACTTGTTTCAAAGTCATTAAAAATCTTACAGATCCCAAACGGTAGTACATATTGAAATTAGCTGACTGGGTTATAATATACAATTTAATTTAAGACATACAAATAGACATCTTTAACAAATACACTCTATACAATTCACATAGTGTACATGCATTTTGGTCATACTTGCTCAGAGGTCCTGCATTCAACATTATCCGCACTTGTGCTATACAGTTCACAGTAAGTTTTCTCTTTATCACTGAAAATAGCCACATGTTGGCAAGAATCTTCCAGGGCACAATCTAACAGAGAGGGATGTGATCAACATTAGTCATGAAAAGTCTGAGTGTCCATCTGACTAATTCAAGTACAGGTGCACAGCTGCAATCTATAACAGTGTAACTCACCAAGCACACACTTCCTGAGCTGTTTCTCCTTTGGCTGGGTTGAAGAATCAGAGCTCAGTATTTCAGCACTCTCTGATTTAAGCAGCAGGGAGGAAGGGGCAACCACCTCGAACTTTTCCATTACTGCAGACACACAAAGAGAGATATACTGTACATACATAAATTAAGTTAGATATTGTTTGTCCTTTCATATTGATAAAGATTTGCCCATTTATTAGCACCGTTGAACCGATACTTTAGCAAGTCTTGTGGAAGGTACTTTTGAATTGTAGCTCACTAAGCAAGCTATACTTTAAACCAGTAGTTGGATACACTATAACTTACTAACAAAAAGTGGCTAACTACATTGACACTATTTAAGAAGGTAATATCTTTCTGAATATAAAACTATCACCATCATATGATTTACTTTTACAATTAGAGCAGCATTTATCTGACACAAAACAATTAAGATCTCAATTAGGACAGGGTAATATAAGGGGAAAATTACATCAGTAAGTAATAATACCAGTCAAATAAACAGTAACAAAGAACAGAATTTAAAGTCGCAATGAAGTGGAAATAGCGTCACCTTTTCTTCCATATTGTGATGTACATCTGAGTGAAACAGATGAAGAAAAAAAAAAGTAGGGGGACTTGGTTCTATTGATTGGATGGAAGCAGTTCTGAATGCAAGACTGCATACAATTGTAAGAAAGGGATGGGGTTTAAGTGGACCAATTGACTGGAGAAGTCCAGCATACGTGACCAAAGAGAAGAAGTTTCTCCAGAAGATCGAGGTATTATATTTTGATTAAATAAAGAGGTCAAAAATGTTTTTAATAATGAAACAAATGCATGGATGAATCACTCACAATGAGATCAATAACATGCATTTAGAAAATACATAAAGTGAGTTTTTCATTTCATGCATACTTTAAATATTTTGCTACAAAAAAAAAAGATGCAAGTACAGCAGGGACTCAAATGAATCAATGAATCGGTTTGTGACATGAACTCTGAACAAATCAAGTCACTAAAATAAACTCTCAAATACTGCATTTGAGTCCGATGAATCAAGGGATAGACAGCATGATTTTTCACTCTGCACCTTCTCTTGTTTGAAAAAGTTGCGTTACTGGAAAAGTTCCACTACATTAAAAACACACTAAAGTGACGCGACGTGTAACCAAGTATGGTGTCCCATCCTCGGAATTTGTGCACACACATAGCAGTGAGTAGTGAACACACACACACACACACATACACCGTGAACACACACCTGGAGCAGTGGGCAGCCATTTTTGCTGCGGCGCGCGGTGAGCATTGGTGCCTTGCTCAAGGGTCTTACCTCAGTTGTGGCATTCACTCCCCCCACCAACAATCCCTGCCTGTACCGTGGCTCAAACCCACGACCTTTGGGTTACAAGTCCAACTCTCTAACAATTAGGCCACGACTGCCCCAACTGCAATTAACTGTAACACTATTTAAAATTTAAAAGTTAGAAGCATTGCTATTTTTAGTTAGTTCCTCCCTAACACTGACTGTAGCACATACCTTTGCACTCTTCAACAGTCATTGGAGCATCAGAAGATGTCCAGGAAAGTTCCTCCCCCTGTGAAGAGACACACAACCATCTGCCAGACATGGGGTCCTTCTGGGCTGACAGGAATTCCCCTTTCTTTGTACAACTCAGTTTACTCTGCTGGCACTCAGTAAGACCTTAAGAATATCAAGATATCGAGAGGACAAATAGAAAACAAGACTTTAAACCATGAAAAAAAATAATTTAATCACTCATTTGCCTCTAAATCCTGTGATCTACATTTTGACAGAGCTGCCATGTATAACTGCAACCATCTACACCTGCTATTCTTGAGTTTGTGTGTTGGGCTTGGCCTGTACTCACAATGAGAAGCACTGAAGGCTCCCTGGGCCACAGTGGATGTTCCCGAGGGGCAGGGAGAACAGAAGACCTGCCCTTTTTCCGCTTGAAATGTATCACGCGGACACGAAGTACACACACCACCACTAGAAAAAGAACCAGCTGGACACACCACTGCGTGTGAGAGAGGATAAAAACACACAGGGAGCAGAGTGATTATGCTTGGGTAATGTTGGTGTTGAATGGAAAAAGAGGAGAGAGTTTGACAGATACAGAACAAAGATTAATAATAGAGGAGGAAAAGTTGTATGCAGTTTGAAATATTACATACACCTTCACAAGTACGTTTACACATTTTGCACACCACATTTCTATGCCAGTAAGCTAAAATATGCATTGGTTATAGAAAACTTTATAGGTGCATATTCGGAAACACTAGTAAAGACATTTCGCTTTATTGTACACAGGCTAGTCTGTCATTAAGACAGTAGTACAGAAGCCAACCTACCACACCCAGTGGATTGTGGGAGCTGCTTATAGCCATCCATGCAGCTAAACGAGGGAGGAATAGAAAGAGCGAGAGAACGGTCATAGAGGAAGATGGACCGGTATGACCCACTTTGGATTAATTCCTTCACGCCATTTAACAACCTCTCCTCACTAAGTGCCATATCTGAAAAATAAACATGCATTTATTTTGAGAGAAAGTGCATGGAATAATAAACATTAATAATTCAGTGTAATGGCAGTGTGAAATTAAATGCATCTGATTTTAGATATCAAATATGGTACGTGAACAGAAATGGACTAAATAAGGTGCAATAAAGCTGTTCACACCAATGTCATGGAGATCAGGGAGAGATGTTATTGGCAGGTCAGAGAGTCTGGCCCTAAAGGTGATGTGTGCAGTGACTTCCTTGTCATTCAAACACTCAAGAGACACAGATGACTCGTCACAGACTGCAACAGAGCTGGTCTGGCCAGATAAGGTCAGCTAACACATATGAAGACACATAAACAAGCAAGCAAATTAAACAGACATGCATTGATGCAACATATCAAGACAATTAAACTAAGACAAAGCATAAATGAATAAAAGCACCTACATATTAAATATGACACTCGCAGACTAATAACACAGGGTTTTCAAATTGGGATTCGGTGATACCTTACGTAGCCTCTAAAGGATCATGGTGAGAGAAAAAATATGAGATGGGAGGAAAAAGTATATTCAATTGTTTTGAATTCGCTCAGAAAAATTTTTTGTTCCCCAAAGAAAGTTTGTGTTCACTTGCAAAAGTTTGGTGTTTCCACAAAATCTGGCATTTGCTCACAAAGAATGCAAAAATGAATTTGTGAGCAAACTAATTTTCTCAAGGGAACGCAAAACATTTGTGACCGCAGACAAATATATTTTTTCCTCACATCCCATATTTTTTTCTATGACCATGTCCCCTTTAAGGGCCCCATAATACCCAGAGGTCTATGGATTTTATTTTATTTTTTTAACAAAATGTAATTTTTAGGGCTGTCAAAGTTAACTTAAGTTATTAAATACATATTTTTAACCAAATCATTCTTTTTTTTTTTTTTTGTTTTTTTTACAAATTTTGATATTACAATTATTTTGCCATATTTACCAAAAATAATGCCCATTTTATTCTATTGACAACCATGGTTTTAACAATAAAAAATATAAATAAAATCAATTTAATTATTTTGGTAACACTTTATTTCAATAGTCCACTTTAGACATTCTATTAACAGTAAGTAACTTTGCAACTACATGTCAACTAGCAGTTAGTAGAGTATTAGTAGACTGTCTGCTTAATATCTTCTAAAACTTTCTTTGTCAACTTATTCTACTAGCCCTAAACCTACCCTAACAGTCTACTCTGAGAGTTAGTAGACATGTAGTTGCAAATGAATGAGAATTAGTTGACATGTAGTTGACATGTAGTTACAAAGTTACTTATAGTTAATAGAATGTCTAAAGTGGACTATCAAAATAAAGTGTAACCATTATTTTTAAGCTTAAGCATTTAACACGTTACACAATATTACACATTTAGACACTTAATATTGTACACATTAGTGGTTAGATAAAAAGATACACTGCCAACTAAATACAATATAAATATTTTCAGAATACATTTTAACAATTTGCTTTCTCTTTAGTAGAATGACAAAATTAAAGACAATTATTTGATTTTAAAACATGGTGTCTTTATAATATTGTGCTGCTGCTTCTTTTTTCTTTCCTTCACAGTTGTTTTATACATGGAAATATGGAATAAAAGTGGGAAAAAAGTGGGAAGTGGATCCTCACAAAGGAACCATTATGCACATAAAAATTGGGCATCAAAACCCATCAAAATCAGAACCCCTGTAACCTAACAGACTGGATTGTACCTGTAGGCTGCAGAGGCCTGTAGCTCTCATGTCTCGCAGCAAAGCAGCCCGTAGCTCAACACTCTGGCTGCTGCAACTCTGCTGACCCTCAGCCAGGGGCAGCTTCAGCTGTAAGGACACCTGCACTGTCTGCACAACCTGAGGCTCTGATGGACATCACAGACACTCAGTTGCTCAGTACAAACAGATAGAGAGTAATTAGAGCAACAGGATTTCATAGAAAGACAAATCCCGAAAGGACATACTGCAACAACCTGTGAGTGTTTCAACAGGTAAATAGGACAATGTGTGTGTCTGTATGTGGCCTTTACTTTGGCAGGCATAGGACAGTGGAGCATCATCAAGCCAGTTTTTCGCCTGGGGATCACACAGGAAGCTGGTGACAGGAAGGGTGTTGACATAACCTTGGTCACAGAACAGCTCACAGCGCTGCGTCTGCTGACCCGCAACAATCGCAGTGCTACACTGAACAGCACCATGGTAAATATCTCCAAATGGAAGGGGGCACTCAGGAACTGGAAAGGGAAACAAATAAGGGAAATCATGTTGCCACAAGCATATGGCACAACTTTAGATAAATGCAAAATGTGACCTAATTTACTTACTGTCGCAGGCTGGGGTTTGTCCTGTGCTGCGGTTGGTGCGTGTCGCTGGCAGTTCCTTTCCGCTTTGAGAAACACACCAACAGTAGGACAGGTCACACTGCAGGGGTGAGAATCGCTGCCCGTCCTGCACACACTGAGGCTCATAGCCCACACCGATCTCTCTCTGCAATGTCAGAGTTTTCTGTAGAGAACACCAACCTGGACCTACAACACACAACATGGGTCTGACATGACAATTTTTTTCAATGCCTCGCTTCCTTACATGGTACTGAATGTTGGTGCTGGAACAAAATTACTATCAACCAATCAGATATTTTCTGAGATCGGACAAAGATTCTCAACTTTTGAATCATGTCCCCATGTGATGAAATGTACAGCGTTGCATTTCGATTAACTATACACTACAAGTCAACAGTTTGGAATATTTAAATTTTTGCATTGTTTTTGAAAAATTCTCTTATTCTCACCAAGGCTCCATTTATTCAATCAAAAATACAGTAAAAACAGTAATATTGTGAAATATTATAAAAAAATTAAATAACGGCTTCCTATTTTAAAATATTTTAAAATGTAATTTGTTCCTGTGGTGGCCAAGCTGAATTAAAATTGAATATGAATTTAAATATAGCAGTAGGGAAAGGGTCAGGCTTGTGATCGATTGACAATAAATTTGACCAAATGAGGTTGTTGATCCAAGAACATGTTGTAATAAATCACACTGTACAGATGAATGGATGAAACAATTACATTGCAATTCTCCAGAAGGACTGGTGATGGCAGGTTGGATGACTTGTCCGGTTATAGGACTTACGCACAACCCCTGTGAATGGACTGAACCGGGCTTCTGGAGTATCGAAAACTCACCGTCCTACAGACATGCGTGCACACACACACACAATGAGACAGACAAATATGAAATGCAAATCTTCAGTGGTTACCACAGAATGTCTTTTGTATGTACAATACAATCCAAATAGCCCAAACAGAAAGCCTCACCTCCTCACATGATGGGCTGTATGTATAAGTGATATTAGAGCTTGTTTGTGTCCAATCAGAGAGCAGGAAGTTGCTTTGAAGCCTTTGGCACGTAGTTTGGCCTGGGGGACAAATTTTTACAAATCAGCTTACATACTTATTCACAATCAAGAAGTTAAATCACAAACAACAGAACTGAAACGAGTAGTCAGAATAACTTTTTTGATTATTATTAAAACATTTATAGATAAACATGGGATTGGACTCTCACACTGCCGAGAGGGTGCAGAACGAGACATCAGAGAGCCTGTGATGTATCTTCCCTCCTCATCAACACACCAACAGTGACCTGTGATATCAAACAGAGCAAAAAACAAACTTAGGAGAAAATTATCTGCAAATACTGCACATTTTGTAATGTCACTAAGATTCTTTTTAAAGAAATTAATACTTTTATTCAGCAAGAATGCAGTAAATTGAAATATTACAAAAATATACACTACCATTCAAAAGTTTGTCATCAGTAAGATTATTATTATTTATAAGAAATGTATACTTTTATTCAGCAAGGATGCAATAAATCAAAGGTGACAGTCAAGACTTTCAGATTGTTGCAAAAAAAATCTATTTCAAATAAATGCTGTTCTTTCTAATTTTCTATTCATCAAAGTATTAATCACAGTTTCCGCTGAAATATTAAGCAGCACAACTGTTTTCAACAATGATAATAAGACGAGCAGCAAATCAGCATATTAGAATGATTTCTGAAGAATCATATGACACTGAAGACTGGAGTAATGATGCAGAAAATTCAGCTTGGCCATCACAGGAATAATTTACATTTACTGTAAAATGTAGTTAGTGACAAGCCTTTCACATGAAGTACGGTGATCATGATCAAAAAGACGGAGTATGGTCTCACCTGTGCTTTGGTAGCACTGATTGGGCAGCCACTGGCCATAAGCGTCACACTGTGGGATGTAGGGCTGGTATCCCAGCATTAAACTCTGTCTGTCTTTGTCATTGGCCATCAGTCTGCTCTGCCAGTAGAAATGTAGGGCTGTCGTGAAGTGAAAGCAAATCAAGTCTTAGTGTGGGTAAAGCATTACAGCACATCTCAGATGTGTCCTCTCCTAACCTTACAGCTTTTTTTTTTAAATAACTGGAATGAGTAGGCAGAGTTTACTAACAATGCACATCTGAAGAATTTACAGTGGGGTCCAAATGTTTAATAAGTCACATGATCAGTGACACAAACTCATATAGAGACAGAAATTCTCTGTACTCTTAAATATAGGTATTTTATTTTATACATTTAATGACATTATTTTCAAAAACCTTTATTTCCAGGTTTTTCAGATGTTGTCTCAGACTTTTGAATCCTACTATACTTTCTTCTGCAGTTTTTTTTACTTTTATTTTGAGACCGATTAAACAAAAGACTTTACTGGAATGAGCTGCGAGTCTCAGGGCAGAGTTGGTGTTGTTCAGCAGAGTCTGAGTGACGGGGATCTTTGAGGTGCGCATCTGCTCCAGCTCCTCAGGGCTCAGATAGACACTCTCAGCCAGGAGAAAACCATAACCCACAGGCACATGTGAGTTGTTTGAAGCAGAGATTAGCTCTTCAGCCTGCTTCAGGAACTCAGAGACCTGGTTTTGAACCATAGAGCATGGACCTGGACCTGGAGAGACACACAAAAGAGATCTTAGGAAGATGATTTAAATAAATTATAAAGAAATATTTGAAAAGATGTGGCAGACATGATGCACTACATGCATTACTTACTATAGTGTATAACTTACATTTGGGGATTTGTCCAACAGGAGCCTTGCTATCTGCTAGCATGTCTCCTTGAGGGTTAATGCACCAGCACTGACGCAGGTGAAAGCTCCCAAGAGGAACACTGAAATCTGATAGCGGGCCTGGATAACCGGAATCCTCTCCTCTGATCAGTCTCCATAACGATAACGGATTCAGGAAAACTGATGGTCCATAGATGGCCTCAACATTCCCATCTAAAATGTCAGATGGAATATCAGAGAACTTCCCAAATCTTGCCAAGACAGGGAACACTCGATATTGCCCAGCTTTGAACAATTCAGATACAAAGACTCTGAATGAAGACATTGCTTCTGTGTTTCTTGCAAAGGCTTGCAGAATTCCGAGAACTTCTGAAAAGGGCAAGTCTTGTCCGGAATTTATGATCCGAACCCACTCATGGTAGAACTCAATTACTTGTTCTGGAGGTCCATCACACTGGATCTGATGCCAGCTGCCATCATAGGCACAACGAGGGATGTACACTTCAGAAAGCTGGGTTATAGAAGATGGATCAGAGAAAACAGAGCGGACTGTGAACAGGAATTGTTGGGTCGCTGTTGCCTGGCAGCTTGTTGGACCTAAAGAGGAATATCAATAAAGCATGATATACAATGAGTATATAATTTAAATATTACTTAATTTAACCATTTAAATCATAAAAAATATTAAAAAGTCATAATCTTTTACATTTCAGACTTGAATAATCACTGTTAATATGATTACATCTTGCATTTTTGGTTTCTGTAGTTGCTCATTATGGAAATCTGAGATATAAAGACCTAAAGGTTAAATTTTGAGATATGAAGTTGCAATAACAAGATATTAAGTCGTAATTGGAAGATTTTACATTTATATTTATGCATTTGGCAGATGGTTTTATGCTCTACATTTTAAACTACGGGAATAAGCATAAAGTCACAATTACGAGAACCCTAAATGATTCATAGTAGTCCTCTAAGGTACTAATATGTATATTTCAGGGGTAGATAAGGTACAAAATTGTCCCTTTTTCTGTAGGTTACATAAGACTGACCCTGGCACATGTTCAATATTAAGCTAAATGTGTACACTGGCAATTTTATGTGTAACAAAATAAAAAGCAAATAACTAACCTTTGAGAAGATACCTTGTAAAACTGAAAGCACTTAAGCTCCATAAAACAAAATAACAAAGTCTCTATAATGCATAATTGAGATGTTTGGCCAGTTGTTTATTACATATGTGCCAGATCATTGAATGTGTGTCTAATTAAATGCATGAATACAGGAATGATCCTCTCTGGCTTTGGAATTAATTATCTGTGTTTAGCATTCAGACTCACATTGAAGAGAGCTTCCTGAACTCTGAATGCTGAGTTTTGTTCCAGAACGGTCCACGCAGAAACAACTTTTGCCAAGACACTGACGTGCAACGTAAGCACCATCAGTCTCACATTTAGGAATGAAGACCTCAGATCCTGCAGAACTGCTGGCTTTGACTGCAATCGCCATCTGGCGTTCTTTCTCACACTGGGATGAGCATCTCGGTCTGGACCCAGTGGTGCGAGAACCTGTTATTTCCAGACCGCGAGAGTCCACACACCAACACTCTGAGCCCTGACATTGAACTTCCTGGTATCGTCCATCCTCAGTGCACTGGGGCACATACAGAGTCGAGGTTGAAGTCACAGACTTGCAAACATCTGATTTCTGGAAAATGGCACGAAACAGTTGACCCAACTGGCTGCTTTCTTCTGCCTTCAACTGTTTGATTGCTTCTCGAAGTACAGTGAGAAATTGCTCATTCTCAAGAGCCATTGAAACAAGTTTAATCATATCTCGGTTGTTTTTCAGGTTCACCGAACGACCAAATGCATCAGAAATCTCTTGGTCTAGATTAAGACTGGCAGAGTCATCTGTAACTGTCTTGGCCAACTGCATCAAGTCGGTCACAGCTTGCATCAGACCAACTTGACTGAAAACTTGACTGAAACTCAATGTACCACGGTTTCCAACAGTGCCGGTGAAGTTGAAATTGCCAGCGCTCTTTAGGAATTTTCCTCCAAAGAGATTCTCCTGGAGTCTCTTGGGATTCGGGGCAAGAGCAAGAGCTTTCAGGGCAAGAGCCCCAGAGGGAAACATCCCTTGGAGGACCTCTGCCAGGATGTCTCCGACATTTGGACGCTCCAACTCTGGCAACAACTGAAGAAGACCAGAGTTGGCCAAAAGCTCCTGGAATTCAGGACTGCAAGTACCAAGAAAAGAGAGGGTGTCTTTGGAAATGGTGAACACGTTGCTCTTGCTGAAGTCTCCAGCTGGGCCATAAAAAAGCCTGGAGAGGGCGTGTCTCCTCTCAGACAGGCAGTCCTTCACTCCAGTGCCTAAAAAAACAAGAAACACAACATTAGTCAGTGCACAAACTCCATTCTGAATCACTCAAACAAGCTAAAAGCTAAATCACTCAAACAAGCTAAAATGCTAAAGAGGCATCATGGGACATAATAATGAATATTCCATGAAATACACACAAAGGCCAAACTCACTACAATTTGGTACTCCATACTGGCGTGTGCCAAAGATCTCTTTGCCATCAGTATCCACACACCAACACTGGCCACTGGACTGACACTGGGTTGACACATATGCTCCGTTATCAATACAGGAGGGTACAAAGGAACTGCCAGCCTGAGTAGCTGCGGCCCGTTCGCTCTCACATGGGGTGGGACCTTATAAAAAGAACAAGAGTTGGGTAAGTACCTGTACTATTATACGGATGTATCAAGTAAATGCTGAAGGGTAGATTTTAGTCCTGCACTGCAACAACTACTACTATTTTTTCCCATATTCTGTCTTTATATGTACAGGAAACAAATGTGTATTAGTAAAAAAAAATAAAAATAGTTTATTCTAGCAAAAAAATTAATAAAAATAATATATATATATATATATATATATATATATATGTGTGTGTGTGTGTGTGTGTAAATTAATATATACATTATTATATATATATATATACTTCTTTTTTTTTTCAAGCAAATCAAGGGAAAACTATTTGCAAATTATTTAAGAAAAATAAACTTAAACTTAATAAATGTATCTTAAATTTACTTGAAAACCAAAAATGCATATCCTTAGGAATATTTAGATATTTTAACTGGAAAACAAGGCAAAAACACTGATTAAGAAAATTATTTTTTTGCAGTGCATGACATCATTATAGTGGCTTGCTTTTTAACAAAATGCTGCATACATCTAAATCTCCCGCTCATGGCCAGCTGGACGGCAAGGTAGCGACGCTGTAGGATTCGATACATGTTTGACTGTGCAAATGTACTTCCTGCAGTCTGGTCTGAAAACGCTGTGTCATACACCTCATCCAACAGCAACTCCACACCTACACAAACCAAACTCAAAACAATTCATCTTTTTAACAGCACACAAAATGTCACAACTTGACCAGGGAAAACTAATGACAACTCAGAATCATAGTCGCCCTGGGGCAAACAGAGGTTCAGTGTTCTGCAAGGGCAAAAAAGGGCACCACTTGCAATGGTGATAGTTTATGAATCACTCTTTGCAGTGTATAAACCTACAAGCTTTTGGTCCAGTTCTTTAACCTGAATGTAACTGAAGAGGTGTGTATCACCTGTGCTTGGCATCTCTCTTCCACGACTGTCTGCACAGAAACAATAACTAGAGAGCTCTGGGTAGGCCTTTCTGAAAGCACTGAATGTCTGGAACACTTCTGGGTCTCTGTTAAAGTAAAAGAAATTTCAATTAAATTAGTCACTTGTAGCAGATGCATTTAAAAACTGTTAGAGAAGAGTAGAAAATCAGGAAAAACCGTTATACATGCTTCTTCTGACACAATACTGATATCTAATGGTTAATTATGTACAGCTTGGGCTGCTTTCCCAGATACAGAATTGTGGTGCTAAAAAAAGCTTTTGGAAGTGAATCTCTATTAATTCAATTAAATTTTAACTTTATATGAGAAAATAACCTTTATTTAGCAATTTTCAGTTTTAGTATTACAGAATAATATACACTACCATTCAAAAGTTTAGGGTCAGTAATTTTTTTTAGGTATATATACTTTTTTAAATTAATATTATTATTCAGCAAAGACATATTCGAATGATAAAAAAAGGCAGTAAAGACATTTAAAATTTAGCAAAATACTTTTTTTTTTATATGCTGTACTTTTGAACTTTGCATTCGTCAAAGAATCCTGAAAAATATTTTTATTACGGTTTACATCAAAATTTTAAGCAGCACAACTAATTGATAGTAATAAGAAATGTTTCTTGAGCACCAAATGAACATATTAGAATGATTTCTGAAGAGTCATGCGACTCTGAAGACTGTAATAATGGCTGCTGAAAATTCGGCTTCGCCAATACTATATATTCTGTAATATTAAATTATAATAATATCTCACAATATAGCTGTTGTACTGTATTTTGGCTCAAATAAAATATTACCAACCTCAAACTTTTGAACGGTAAACCACATGTCTCACCTGTTAAAGGTGTGTAACAGATCAAATATCATCCTGTCAGTGGTGTTGACAAACTTGCACTGCACAGGTAAGAAGCCCCCGTCATTTGAGCACTGAGGGGGAGAGGGTTCTCCGAAACCATGAAGGAGTCGCCACTGTCTTACCTCACAAGTACCAGGACCTAAGGTCAAGGGTTAAGACGCATTGTACAGTAATTCTGATGTCAAAGAGCAGATTATCCATTTCTGCGTCACCCAGAAATGTAAGATTCACAGCTATTTAAACAAATCTAAGCAGGTAAAAATCTTGCTTTTTCAGAGACTCATCTGAACAGTTCAACCAATGCATCCAGGGAGTTAAATGAATACAACACTTAATAAATGCACTCACACTTTGAGGGCTTTCCATTCTGCCTGGTTCCATAGATCTCCATGCCTTCTTGGTCCACGCACCAGCACTGGCCACGGGACGCATCACACTGCACCGGCTCGAACTCACCTGAGTCCAAACATGCTGGCACCAGTGTGATGCCTTCAGTTCGCAGGGCCTGCTGTCTCTGGAGCTGGCACGAGGTTAAACCTATAGAGAGGGGACAGGATGCATTTAATAGATCAAAATAGTTAGTAAAGCAACTTTTTGTAATGCTGGACATGTTGAAGTTGAATTATGAAGAATGACTTACAATGAACCGTGGATCCATTTTGTCGACTCCCAGGTATCTCAAGTCCTTCTACATTCACACACCAACACTCCCCGCCTCCACGATTACACTGAACATGCCTACAAGGGTGCCATTAATTTTTTTTTCAAACTTTACCATAACATACCATGGTGCATTTATGTAATAATATCATATATAGTATCGGTCAAGTTAATGCACCTAAATCGGCCGTCCTCAGAGCACTGGGCTATGTGCTCATGTCCCTGCATTGAACTGACAGCCCTGAGCTGTTCACATTGACTCAGACTCTCGGTCTCCAGCTGGTACTCTGAGGGGAAGAAACAGGTGGACGAGTTTCAAACCATAGAAACCTAAATACAGAACCTATAGAGAATTAGAATAAACAAAGCTGTTGTGAATAGACCGGACACTCACCTGAAATCTTTCCATACGTCAGAGAGATGCTAAGCAGTGTAAAGGTTACACAAAGGAGCTTCATCTCTTCCATGTTCTGCATCTTCTCTAGGATGCAAGAACTCTCCTAGTGAATGCTACAAGACTGCAGTGTCTTTTATACCATATCCAAGATGTGCATTGTCATACCTGTTCAGCATTTTGCCGTTTTACGGATTTAACTATCAAAACACAAACCTCTCCAGCCTGGTTAGAGTACCTGGTGGTGAATAAGAACATTTTGGACATTGTAAAGTGAGCAGCCAAGCTTGAACTTTTGAGAGTGCTTATTTGAGAAGAACCAGCAACACCAGTCATCTGAAAAGCACTTTCAACAGAGAAGAATAAAGCTGTGTGAAGTAACTTCTCTTATTTTGTTGCCCAATACTTCTATAAAGAGGAAAATACTATGTAGAAACATTTAAAAGAAAACAAATACTACCTAAACCACCCCCAGAGAACACAAATTCACATTTACATATAAACATTATTGCATAAAGGAAGTGTGTAAACAATGACCATACACAAAAAAAAGTTGAGAATATTTTTTAATGAAGTTGTACATACAGATAATTACATCAGGTCTTTAAATAAACGCTTTAAATGTACAGCTGGTATTTCTCATCTAAAGAAACTTCAAGTTTTAAATCAAAATTCTAAAACACTCTTTGTACAGATTAATAGAAATTGAGATTAAACAGGCATTTTCAAGTATTATCCTCTTCTGCCTTAGTTTTTCATTGTTTTTCCTTACAGTTATAAAAACTGTTTATACATAAAAAAAAAAAAACTGAACTAAATGGATTTATTATATGCATTTACATCCATCTCAGGATTAGCTTACTTCACGGTAGCAACTCTCAAAGTATCAACGTGATAAACAGACCTTAGTGAGAAGAGTCGCCTATTTCTGGACATCCTGGATTGAGTTAGAGTAGTTTGTTTTCTTGTGAATCGCTACAGTATCCATCAAGACTGTAGAGAAACATGCTAAAGTATTAGAGACAAGTTGATGTGTGAAAACTGTCTAGGTGTTGGTCTAATGAGCTTGTAGGCATTGTGAACCTTTAGTACCAGTGTATCAGACTGCAAATAAGCCCCATTCCTGGCCTAAAATGCAACATCCATTTCAAAAACGTATAAATCCTGAACTGTGCATGTCTGAGGGGAAAAGAAAAAAAAACAGACCAGTGGTCTGTTTTCCTGGCACTTTAAAGTGACTTTTTAAGTGACAAAAAAAACTTTATAACCAGATTTTGTTTCCTCAAACGCTAATGAACTCTTAAACAGTCTGCTATCAGTGACCCACTTCAGTCAAGTTAAAATTTCCTTAAGCTCACGGAGTGGAAATACAGACTAGATTTGCTTTGGGGGTCTAACTGATGCAAAAAAATAAAAATAAAGTAGTTAAAACCTAAATTTGTGTGGTTTTGTGATCTCTTCAGTTTTTTTTTTTTTTTTAAATAGATAATCCCTTCTCTTAACATGTGAAAGAATTAATCTGCTATAGTGCGCTCTTCCTATTTTGGAAAGCAAAATCTTCTTTAAGCAGATATGTTTTGACTCAGCATGAATGCACTGACCTCTTCCTGTTTCACACATTAAGTGTGAATATTCCTTTTGTCATACATGGTGATGGCCAATGTTTTACTTCACAAAGGAGAATCATGTTGAATAAACCTTCTCACACGTCGTTGTGTGTGAAGAAACGAGAGGTTATGTTAGAAGCTCAGAACACACACTGTAATGTGTGTATCACACAGAGCAGAGGGTGCTCATCTGCTGCACTTTTCCCAGGTCTGTCAGAAGCTGTCTGATGCGGCACTTGACCTGTGGGAGTCGGGCCAGGGGATCAGGGGGCTCCAATTCTCCTGTGAAGTCCAACCAACTCTCGAGCACTTCATACAGATAGGGAGAAAAAGAATGAAACCTTTACAAAATATCAAAAATAGGCATCTCCGCTTTGGTGATTTTAATGGCAAAAGCAAGCAAAATGTTTCTGGTTAAATCTTCACAAAGGATAAAAACATTAGCCATCACAACTCATGAGCAAGCCTTTTAAACTCAACTTAATAAGCTCATGACGGCATACTTCTGAGACCACAGAAAAGAATTCAACCAGCCCTGGTCATGTGGCATTAAATATAGTTTTGATTTGATAACGGCACTTCCCATATTTCTCCCCCTTACCATCAAGCTCTTTCTCAATAAGGTCCATACGGCCAGACAGCTGGTTCTGAACATCCTCTATGTGTGTAAGCAGGTTCATTTGCCACTGCAGACAGTTCCTGGCCTGCTCCATGGAGCCCAGACCGCTGTCATTCACACAGCCAGACAGAGCAATGGCACTGCTCACCTGCACAAACCATAAACAGCACAGATTTCAAACTCCATATCCTTTCACGTACTGACCCTATCCAGATCTGAGATTTAATTGTCCCTTGGTTACCTCTTCTTCCTTTCGGTTAAACTGAGAGGCTGTTTGCATCCCCTGCTCATCCCTTGTGTGTTCGAGGCCTGTACCGGGAGGTTTCTGGTAGCTGTGTTCGCTGGTAATGTAAGTTTCAGGGTTTGAGTTCAGGTTGAGATGCTCTTTGAAATGTAGACAGTCTGGAACGCCACCCATAGGCTGGTCCTCATCAGAGTTCACCCAAGACCGGGCCCACAAGTGCAAACTTGGGTTATGTTTGTTCCTGAGAATATGTTAAAAGTGTATTATTGTTCCTGCATCTTTTCTTCTACAGTAATATATCAGAAGATCAATTTAAAACCTGACAGCTTTGGAAAACAGGCCTAAAAACTCAACTCAACCATTGCACAATCATTGTTACACAAATCAAATTAAATTCAAAATTGGCTGGGCAATATGGGCAAAAATATTATCATAATATTTTTTCCATGTCATGCAATATCAATATTCATCACGATATTAATTTACTCATTCTCATTAATTAATGAGAAAAAAAAAACGCTTTCAACATGCTTGTTAGACCTTAAGAATGAATGTAAAAATAACTTGAATGAATCCATTTGATTTTTGTCCCTAAATTCTGTGTTTTCCATTTTATTTTTTTCTGGATTCTATGGTTTATTTAAAGGGGTCATATGATGCTTTTTTAAAGATCATTATTTTGTGTATTTGGTGTAACAGAATATGTTGACATGCTTTAATGTTCAAAAAAACACATTATTTTTCAAATACTGTACATTATTGTAGATCCTCTATGCCCCGCCTCTCTCAAAAGCTTCGTTTTCTACAGTCCCTCCTTTTGACCAGCACAGTCTGCTCTGATTGGCCAGCTGACCCAGTGCATTGTGATTGGCCGAACACCGCAAGCACTCTTCGGAAATGTAACGCCCCTTACCATAACAAAGAGAAAGGAAAACTTGAAATCGCATCCTATGACCCCTTTAACACAAAAATACTGAAAATGGTTGGATAAAACAAATCTTGGTTGAATGATATTCCTTAAAAATAGTAATATTAAGAACATCTTGGTATACAATAGTAATATACTGTATTTCGGTGTTTCCAAACTTTTAGTTTGTCATGAAGATTTTTAAGTTTCAGTGTGCATTTATAGGTTTTCTCAGCTGAAATGGTGAAAAAGCTTGTGAAGTGAACTCTCAGTAAAGCTCTGGAGATTAAGTTCATGTGGACTGTCCTCATATATTGAGATGTCAGATGCTTGAAACACTGTGAGTGTTGTGTGTGTTTGCACTGACTGGCTGATGCTGTGTTTATTTCTGCTGTTATAGGACATTATATTAATCCTTATTGAGTAAAAATGTCCACATCTTCTCATCATTATTAACATAACTTTTATCACAATCTGGGTAAGATATAGTTTATCGCCCTGCCCTAGCTTAACCCATCTTTAACAATTCCTTTTGGAACATTTTTATGGTAGTTAATATGCTTTTTTCCACAATGTCACCTAATTTAAATAATTTGGTAGGCTTCAGGAAAGGCAAAGTGTCTCTTACTGTAAAATATCCATCTTCAGCTGAAGGCCATGGAGCAAATTTTTAACACTGTAAACATCAGCAAGCAGCTGGTGAGTGGACACGATCTTCTTGGCATTATGATGCGAGTAGTTCTCTGTGAGGAAGGACAGGCCATACATGTGGCCCTTCTGTAGCCAGTCTTTATCATGGCGGTATTTAGCACTCCACCTCTGACCTGAAAAAAAAAAATACATAGTTTGGAGCAATTTCAGTTTTATATTTACATAAACTTAATTTCCATTTAAGAAACAGACATATGACATCTTTAGTAAGCTGGATAAAGTTGAAGATAAAGCTACAAAATCATGCTGACCCTTTGTGCACGGTATTGTTGCAGAATATTGTTACCTGGAGGGTCTCTGCAGATGTAACATATGTAGTGATCGGGGATGCTGTCCTCCAAAAGCCCCATACACACACTGTGCTGCCAGCACATACACTCCTCACACTGTACAGAGAGAGATATGCTATCAGAAAAGTTTTGCAATTCTTCAGACAACAGATTCAAAACAAAGACACCATAAATCAGCATATATAAGATGTTTCTTGCATGAAACTCTGTTTACAGACAGAATAAAAACTACTTTCAAAGCTTATCAGGTGGTATTTACTAAAAGTAATCCTACCTGAATCATGAAGCCGTTTTCTTCATCCATCTCACAGATGCAGCGAACAATTTCATCGGCACCATCATCATCCTCATCCTGGAAGTCCTCCATAGTGATCGAGTCTAGATCCTGGTAATACTCATCTCCACTGAACAGCAAACTCTCAGTGGTCGAGTCTTCCAGGAAGTCGATGTCTGACAGGTCTGAGATAGGAAAAGGAAGTAGGACATGAAATGAGGCTCAACATCACGGCATACCACTGATACCATATTCATGTTGACTTCTATCTATTAGCTACAGAACATCAAATTTAATGGCTGGAAGCTACAGCTGAAATGATAACATTATTGGAAAGTAGCTACAAAAGGCTGCAAATCAATGAGAGGATTTACTCTCCCCGGTGAGGTCGACGGACAGTATGGCACGAGGGTATTGGAAGGTGCTGTGC